CGGTTGTCAGTACAGCAGCGATCCAGCCGTCCAGTTCTATCTGAACACGTACACCACAAAAGAGAGTCCTTGACAGTGTCAGAGGTTTGAGGCACAAAGGCGGACGACCCCTCAACACTGGAGCAGCTCTCCGGTACTGAGGGATAACGTCTTCACGGCCTCTGCCGGAAGCAGGCGGCCATCAGGAGTTCCGCAGTCTAATATGATCACTGGTGGAAGATCATTTGACAGTATTGATGAACCAGCCTCTGCTCTCAAACAGCTGGGTGTCTTGACCATTGCAATTGGAACCCGAGGCTCTGACCCCAGAGAACTTCAGACCATAACTGGCGAGCCCAGTTATGCTCTATCTGTGTCTGAACTTACTGACCTACCCAAAGTGCAACAGCAACTTGAGTCCTCTGTGGAAGCTGCAGTTTTTTGAAGTCACCCAGAATTACCAACCGTAATTGGTACGTTGTCAGACACATCCTGTTGCTTGCTCCAAAAGTTATTAATTTTAGCTACAGTGAGGAAAAAGCAAATAAATGAATGTGATGTGTGTATAGGTTTTTTGTGCATTTCAAACCAGTTGGTAGCAGCTGTGGTCTTTCTAAAACAGAAGTAGGCCAGGCTAGTGTTGTTAAAATATTAGTGTGCCAGTGAAAGATAATCTCACAGCTTTGTGAAAGGTTTTCATTTTTTTGTCCTACTGTCTTTTCTCAGCTTCACGTGACAGAAAAGATATGTATTCCTTCTGGATGGTTCTGATGGCACAAGGAATGGCTTTCCTGCCATGCGTGATTTTGTAGAGAGAGTGGTGGAGAAAATCAATGTGGGAGAAAACAAAGACCATGTCTCTGTGGTCCAGTACAGCAGAGAACCAGAGGTCCATTCTATCTGAACACATATACCACAAGGGAGGATGTGGTGGACTCGGTCAGAGGGCTTAGACACAGAGGAGGAAGACCCCTAAACACTGGGGCAGCTCTCCAATACGTCAGAGACAACGTCTTTACAAACTCCTCTGGAAGTAGACGCCTGCAGGGTGTCCACAGATATTGATCTTACTAACTGGGGGAAGGTCTTTTGACAATGTAGATACCCAGCTCAGCTCTCAAACAGCAGGGCATTTATGTGATTGCATTGGAACTAGGACCTCAGATGCTAGAGAGCTGCAGAAAATATCATATGAGCCCAGTTAGCTCTGTCAGTGTCCGAGTTCACTGACCTTCCAGTGTCCAAGAACAGCTCTCTTCTGTAATGAGCAAAGTGATAGTGAGGGCCACGCCCATGACACCAACAGTGACCGGTAAGAACGTGACTCTTTTGTAATCTCCAGTATCATGGTAGGAAACAGTGTGAAAAGAAACCAAATGTGATTTGCTGTGTTCAGTTAGCTAGTGGATTGTCTTTTTTTTTTTAAATAGTTGTGCTTGCGAAGAAAGAGTTCAATTTCAAGATGTTTCTCTTTAGATGCAAAATATTTGATTGACCAAGTTAAACATATGGTAAATCTCATGTCTCTAGTGGTCAGACAACCAGCAGGAAGGGATGTGGTGTTTTTGCTGGATGGATCTGATGCTACTAGAAGTGGATTCCCAGCTATGAGAGACTTTGTCCAAAAACAAGTAGACACACTCAGTGTGGATGATGGCAAAGGACCGTGTGTCGGTTGTTCAGTACAGCAGCGATCCAGCCGGTCCAGTTCTATTCTGAACACGTACACCACAAAAGAGAGGTCCTGACAGTGTCAGAGGTTTGAGGCACAAAGGCGGACGACCCCTCAACACTGGAGCAGCTCTCCGGTACTTGAGGGATAACGTCTTCACGGCCTCTGCCGGAAGCAGGCGGCCATCAGGAGTTCCGCAGGTCCTAATATTGATCATGGTGGAAGATCATTTGACAGTATTGATGAAACCAGCCTCTGCTCTCAACAGCTGGGTGTCTTGACCATTGCAATTGGAACCCGAGGCTCTGACCCCAGAGAACTTCAGACATAACTGGCGAGCCCAGTCATGCTGTATCTGTGTCTGAGTTCACTGACCTTCCCAATGTCAAGAACAGCTCTCTTCTGTAATGAGCACAGTGCCAATGAGGGTCACACCTTTGACCCAACAGTGACTGGTAAGAACATGACCCATCTTCAAAGTCCAGTATCATTGTAGGAAACAGTGTGAAAAGAAATCATTTGGTTTTGCTGTGTTTAATCAGCCAGTGGATTGTTTTTCCTTTTTTTTTTGTTCTGTTTTCGTTTTTGTTTTTTTATAAAATAGTTGTGGTGTAAAGAAAGAGTTCACTTTTACCATGGTGCTTTTTAGCTGCAAAATATTTGATTGACCAAGTTAACATATGGTAAATCTCATGTCTCTTAGTGGTCAGACAGCCAGCAGGAAGGGATTGTGGTTTTTGCTGGATGGATCTGATGCTACTAGAAGTGGATTCCCAGCTATGAGAGACTTTGTCCAAAAACAAGTAGCACACTCAGTGTGGATGATGGCAAAGACCGTGTGTCGGTTGTTCAGTACAGCAGCGATCCAGCCGTCCAGTTCTATGTGAACACGTACACCACAAAAGAGAGGTCCTTGACAGTGTCAGAGGTTTGAGGCACAAAGGCGGACGACCCTCAACACTGGAGCAGCTCTCCGTACTTGAGGATAACGTCTTCACGGCCTCTGCCGGAAGCAGGCGGCCATCAGGAGTTCCGCAGTCTAATATTGATCACTGGTGGAAGATCATTTGACAGTATTGATGAACCAGCCTCTGCTCTCAACAGCTGGGTGTCTGACCATTGCAATTGGAACCCGAGGCTCTGACCCCAGAGAACTTCAGACCATAACTGGCGAGCCCAGTTATGCTCTATCTGTCTGAACTTACTGACCTACCCAAAGTGCAACAGCAACTTGAGTCCTCTGTGGAAGCTGCAGTTTTTGAAGTCACCCCAGAATTACCAACCGTAATTGGTACTTGTCAGACACATCCTGTTGCTTGCTCCAAAAGTTATTAATTTTAGCTACAGTGAGGAAAAGCAAATAAATGAATGTGATGTGTGTATAGGTTTTTTGTGCATTTCAAACCAGTTGGTAGCATGCTGTGGTCTTTCTAAAACAGAAGTAGGCCAGGCTAGTGTTGTTAAAATATTAGTGTGCCAGTGAAAGATAATCTCACAAGCTTTGTGAAAGGTTTTCATTTTTTTGTCCTACTGTCTTTCTCAGCTTCACGTGACAGAAAAGATATTGTATTCCTTCTGGATGGTTCTGATGGCACAGGAATGGCTTTCCTGCCATGCGTGATTTGTAGAGAGAGTGGTGGAGAAAATCAATGTGGGAGAAAACAAAGACCATGTCTCTGTGGTCCAGTACAGCAGAGAACCAGAGGTCCATTTCTATCTGAACACATATACCACAAGGGAGGATGTGGTGGACTCGGTCAGAGGCTTAGACACAGAGGAGGAAGACCCCTAAACACTGGGGCAGCTCTCCAATACGTCAGAGACAACGTCTTTACAAACTCCTCTGGAAGTAGACGCCTGCAGGGTGTCCCACAGATATTGATCTTACTAACTGGGGGAAGGTCTTTGACAATGTAGATAGCCCAGCCTCAGCTCTCAAACAGCAGGGCATTTATGTGATTGGCATTGGAACTAGGACCTCAGATGCTAGAGAGCTGCAGAAAATATCATATGAGCCCAGTTATGCTCTGTCAGTGTCCGAGTTCACTGACCTTCCCAGTGTCCAAGAACAGCTCTCTTCTGTAATGAGCAAAGTGATAGTGAGGGCCACGCCCATGACACCAACAGTGACCGGTAAGAACGTGACTCTTTTGTAATCTCCAGTATCATGGTAGGAAACAGTGTGAAAGAACCAAATGTGATTTGCTGTGTTCAGTTAGCTAGTGGATTGTCTTTTTTTTTTTTTTTAAATAGTTGTGCTGCGAAGAAAGAGTTCAATTCAAGATGTTTCTCTTTAGCTGCAAAATATTTGATTGACCAAGTTAAACATATGGTAAATCTCATGTCTCTTAGTGGTCAGACAGCCAGCAGGAAGGGATGTGGTGTTTTTGCTGGATGGATCTGATGCTACTAGAAGTGGATTCCCAGCTATGAAGACTTTGTCCAAAAACAAGTAGACACACTCAGTGTGGATGATGGCAAAGACCGTGTGTCGGTTGTTCAGTACAGCAGCGATCCAGCCGTCCAGTTCTATCTGAACACGTAACACCACAAAAAGAGAGGTCCTTGACAGTGTCAGAGGTTTGAGGCACAAAGGCGGACGACCCCTCAACACTGGAGCAGCTCTCCGGTACTTGAGGGATAACGTCTTCACGGCCTCTGCCGGAAGCAGGCGGCCATCAGGAGTTCCGCAGGTCCTTAATATTGATCACTGGTGGAAGATCATTTGACAGTATTGATGAACCAGCCTCTGCTCTCAAACAGCTGGGTGTCTTGACCATTGCAATTGGAACCCGAGGCTCTGACCCCAGAGAACTTCAGACCATAACTGGCGAGCCCAGTCATGCTGTATCTGTGTCTGAGTTCACTGACCTTCCCAATGTTCAAGAACAGCTCTCTTCTGTAATGAGCACAGTGCCAATGAGGGTCACACCTTTGACCCCAACAGTGATGGTAAGAACATGACCCATCTTCAAAGTCCAGTATCATTGTAGGAAACAGTGTGAAAAGAAATCATTTGGTTTTGCTGTGTTTAATCAGCCAGTGGATTGTTTTTCCTTTTTTTTTGTTCTGTTTTCGTTTTTGTTTTTTGTTTTTTTTATAAAATAGTTGTGGTTGTAAAGAAAGAGTTCACTTTTACCATGGTGCTTTTTAGCTGCAAAATATTTGATTGACCAAGTTAAACATATGGTAAATCTCATGTCTCTTAGTGGTCAGACAGCCAGCAGGAAGGGATGTGGTGTTTTTGCTGGATGGATCTGATGCTACTAGAAGTGGATTCCCAGCTATGAGAGACTTTGTCCAAAAACAAGTAGACACACTCAGTGTGGATGATGGCAAAGACCGTGTGTCGGTTGTTCAGTACAGCAGCGATCCAGCCGTCCAGTTCTATCTGAACACGTACACCACAAAAAGAGAGGTCCTTGACAGTGTCAGAGGTTTGAGGCACAAAGGCGGACGACCCCTCAACACTGGAGCAGCTCTCCGGTACTTGAGGGATAACGTCTTCACGGCCTCTGCCGGAAGCAGGCGGCCATCAGGAGTTCCGCAGGTCCTAATATTGATCACTGGTGGAAGATCATTTGACAGTATTGATGAACCAGCCTCTGCTCTCAAACAGCTGGGTGTCTTGACCATTGCAATTGGAACCCGAGGCTCTGACCCCAGAGAACTTCAGACCATAACTGGCGAGCCCAGTTATGCTCTATCTGTGTCTGAACTTACTGACCTACCCAAAGTGCAACAGCAACTTGAGTCCTCTGTGGAAGCTGCAGTTTTTGAAGTCACCCCAGAATTACCAACCGTAATTGGTACGTTGTCAGACACATCCTGTTGCTTGCTCCAAAAGTTATTAATTTTAGCTACAGTGAGGAAAAGCAAATAAATGAATGTGATGTGTGTATAGGTTTTTTGTGCATTTCAAACCAGTTGGTAGCATGCTGTGGTCTTTCTAAAACAGAAGTAGGCCAGGCTAGTGTTGTTAAAATATTAGTGTGCCAGTGAAAGATAATCTCACAAGCTTTGTGAAAGGTTTTCATTTTTTTGTCCTACTGTCTTTTCTCAGCTTCACGTGACAGAAAAGATATTGTATTCCTTCTGGATGGTTCTGATGGCACAAGGAATGGCTTTCCTGCCATGCGTGATTTGTAGAGAGAGTGGTGGAGAAAATCAATGTGGGAGAAAACAAAGACCATGTCTCTGTGGTCCAGTACAGCAGAGAACCAGAGGTCCATTTCTATCTGAACACATATACCACAAGGGAGGATGTGGTGGACTCGGTCAGAGGGCTTAGACACAGAGGAGGAAGACCCCTAAACACTGGGGCAGCTCTCCAATACGTCAGAGACAACGTCTTTACAAACTCCTCTGGAAGTAGACGCCTGCAGGGTGTCCCACAGATATTGATCTTACTAACTGGGGGAAGGTCTTTGACAATGTAGATAGCCCAGCCTCAGCTCTCAAACAGCAGGGCATTTATGTGATTGGCATTGGAACTAGGACCTCAGATGCTAGAGAGCTGCAGAAAATATCATATGAGCCCAGTTATGCTCTGTCAGTGTCCGAGTTCACTGACCTTCCCAGTGTCCAAGAACAGCTCTCTTCTGTAATGAGCAAAGTGATAGTGAGGGCCACGCCCATGACACCAACAGTGACCGGTAAGAACGTGACTCCTTTGTAATCTCCAGTATCATGGTAGGAAACAGTGTGAAAAGAAACCAAATGTGATTTGCTGTGTTCAGTTAGCTAGTGGATTGTCTTTTTTTTTTTTTTTAAATAGTTGTGCTTGCGAAGAAAGAGTTCAATTTCAAGATGTTTCTCTTTAGATGCAAAATATTTGATTGACCAAGTTAAACATATGGTAAATCTCATGTCTCTTAGTGGTCAGACAGCCAGCAGGAAGGGATGTGGTGTTTTTGCTGGATGGATCTGATGCTACTAGAAGTGGATTCCCAGCTATGAGAGACTTTGTCCAAAAACAAGTAGACACACTCAGTGTGGATGATGGCAAAGACCGTGTGTCGGTTGTTCAGTACAGCAGCGATCCAGCCGTCCAGTTCTATCTGAACACGTACACCACAAAAAGAGAGGTCCTTGACAGTGTCAGAGGTTTGAGGCACAAAGGCGGACGACCCCTCAACACTGGAGCAGCTCTCCGGTACTTGAGGGATAACGTCTTCACGGCCTCTGCCGGAAGCAGGCGGCCATCAGGAGTTCCGCAGGTCCTAATATTGATCACTGGTGGAAGATCATTTGACAGTATTGATGAACCAGCCTCTGCTCTCAAACAGCTGGGTGTCTTGACCATTGCAATTGGAACCCGAGGCTCTGACCCCAGAGAACTTCAGACCATAACTGGCGAGCCCAGTTATGCTCTATCTGTGTCTGAACTTACTGACCTACCCAAAGTGCAACAGCAACTTGAGTCCTCTGTGGAAGCTGCAGTTTTTGAAGTCACCCCAGAATTACCAACCGTAATTGGTACGTTGTCAGACACATCCTGTTGCTTGCTCCAAAAGTTATTAATTTTAGCTACAGTGAGGAAAAGCAAATAAATGAATGTGATGTGTGTATAGGTTTTTGTGCATTTCAAACCAGTTGGTAGCATGCTGTGGTCTTTCTAAAACAGAAGTAGGCCAGGCTAGTGTTGTTAAAATATTAGTGTGCCAGTGAAAGATAATCTCACAAGCTTTGTGAAAGGTTTCATTTTTTGTCCTACTGTCTTTTCTCAGCTTCACGTGACAGAAAAGATATTGTATTCCTTCTGGATGGTTCTGATGGCACAAGAATGGCTTTCCTGCCATGCGTGATTTTGTAGAGAGAGTGGTGGAGAAAAATCAATGTGGGAGAAAACAAAGACCATGTCTCTGTGGTCCAGTACAGCAGAGAACCAGAGGTCCATTTCTATCTGAACACATATACCACAAGGGAGGATGTGGTGGACTCGGTCAGAGGGCTTAGACACAGAGGAGGAAGACCCCTAAACACTGGGGCAGCTCTCCAATACGTCAGAGACAACGTCTTTACAAACTCCTCTGGAAGTAGACGCCTGCAGGGTGTCCCACAGATATTGATCTTACTAACTGGGGAAGGTCTTTTGACAATGTAGATAGCCCAGCCTCAGCTCTCAACAGCAGGGCATTTATGTGATTGGCATTGGAACTAGGACCTCAGATGCTAGAGAGCTGCAGAAAATATCATATGAGCCCAGTTATGCTCTGTCAGTGTCCGAGTTCACTGACCTTCCCAGTGTCCAAGAACAGCTCTCTTCTGTAATGAGCAAAGTGATAGTGAGGGCCACGCCCATGACACCAACAGTGACCGGTAAGAACGTGATCCTTTGTAATCTCCAGTATCATGGTAGGAACAGTGTGAAAAGAAACCAAATGTGATTTGCTGTGTTCAGTTAGCTAGTGGATTGTCTTTTTTTTTTTTTTAAATAGTTGTGCTTGCGAAGAAAGAGTTCAATTTCAAGATGTTTCTCTTTAGATGCAAAATATTTGATTGACCAAGTTAAACATATGGTAAATCTCATGTCTCTTAGTGGTCAGACAGCCAGCAGGAAGGGATGTGGTGTTTTTGCTGGATGGATCTGATGCTACTAGAAGTGGATTCCCAGCTATGAGAGACTTTGTCCAAAAACAAGTAGACACACTCAGTGTGGATGATGGCAAAGACCGTGTGTCGGTTGTTCAGTACAGCAGCGATCCAGCCGTCCAGTTCTATCTGAACACGTACACCACAAAAAGAGAGGTCCTTGACAGTGTCAGAGGTTTGAGGCACAAAGGCGGACGACCCCTCAACACTGGAGCAGCTCTCCGGTACTTGAGGGATAACGTCTTCACGGCCTCTGCCGGAAGCAGGCGGCCATCAGGAGTTCCGCAGGTCCTAATATTGATCACTGGTGGAAGATCATTTGACAGTATTGATGAACCAGCCTCTGCTCTCAAACAGCTGGGTGTCTTGACCATTGCAATTGGAACCCGAGGCTCTGACCCCAGAGAACTTCAGACCATAACTGGCGAGCCCAGTCATGCTGTATCTGTGTCTGAGTTCACTGACCTTCCCAATGTTCAAGAACAGCTCTCTTCTGTAATGAGCACAGTGCCAATGAGGGTCACACCTTTGACCCCAACAGTGACTGGTAAGAACATGACCCATCTTCAAAGTCCAGTATCATTGTAGGAAACAGTGTGAAAGAAATCATTTGTTTTGCTGTGTTTAATCAGCCAGTGGATTGTTTTTCCTTTTTTTTGTTCTGTTTCGTTTTTGTTTTTTTTTTTATAAAATAGTTGTGGTTGTAAAGAAAGAGTTCACTTTTACCATGGTGCTTTTTAGCTGCAAAATATTTGATTGACCAAGTTAAACATATGGTAAATCTCATGTCTCTTAGTGGTCAGACAGCCAGCAGGAAGGGATGTGGTGTTTTTGCTGGATGGATCTGATGCTACTAGAAGTGGATTCCCAGCTATGAGAGACTTTGTCCAAAAACAAGTAGACACACTCAGTGTGGATGATGGCAAAGACCGTGTGTCGGTTGTTCAGTACAGCAGCGATCCAGCCGTCCAGTTCTATCTGAACACGTACACCACAAAAAGAGAGGTCCTTGACAGTGTCAGAGGTTTGAGGCACAAAGGCGGACGACCCTCAACACTGGAGCAGCTCTCCGGTACTTGAGGGATAACGTCTTCACGGCCTCTGCCGGAAGCAGGCGGCCATCAGGAGTTCCGCAGGTCTATATTGATCACTGGTGGAGTCATTTGACAGTATTGATGAACCAGCCTTGCTCTCAAACAGCTGGGTGTCTTGCCATGCAATTGGAACCCGAGGCTCTGACCCAGAGAACTTCAGACCATAACTGGCGAGCCCAGTTATGCTCTATCTGTGTCCTGAACTTACTGACCTACCCAAAGTGCAACAGCAACTTGAGTCCTCTGTGGAAGCTGCAGTTTTGAAGTCACCCCAGAATTACCAACCGTATTGGTACGTTGTCAGAACATCCTGTTGCTTGCTCCAAAGTTATTATTTTAGCTACAGTGAGGAAAAGCAAATAATGAATGTGATGTGTGTATAGGTTTTTGTGCATTTCAAACCAGTTGGTAGCATGCTGTGGTCTTTCTAAACAGAGTAGGCCAGGCTAGTGTTGTTAAATATTAGTGTGCCAGTGAAGTAATCTCACAAGCTTTGTGAAAGGTTTTCATTTTTTTCCTACTGTCTTTTCTCAGCTTCACGTGACAGAAAGATATTGTATTCCTTCTGGATGGTTCTGATGGCACAAGGAATGGCTTTTCCTGCCATGCGTGATTTTGTAGAGAGATGGTGGAGAAATCAATGTGGGAGAAAACAAAGACCATGTCTCTGTGGTCCAGTACAGCAGAGAACCGAGGTCCATTTCTATCTGAACATATACCACAAGGGAGGATGTGGTGGACTCGGTCAGGGGCTTAGACAAGAGGAGGAAGACCCCTAACACTGGGGCAGCTCTCCAATACGTCAGAGACACGTCTTTACAACTCTCTGGAAGTAGACGCTGCAGGGTGTCCACAGATATTGATCTTACTAACTGGGGGAAGGTCTTTTGACAATGTAGATAGCCCAGCCTCAGCTCTCAACAGCAGGGCATTTATGTGATTGGCATTGGAACTAGGACCTCAGATGTAGAGAGCTGCAGAAAATTCATATGGCCCAGTTATGCTCTGTCAGTGTCCGAGTTCACTGACCTTCCCAGTGTCCAAGACAGCTCTCTTCTGTAATGAGCAAAGTGATGTGAGGGCCACGCCATGACACCAACAGTGACGGTAAGAACGTGACTTTTTGTAATCTCCAGTATCATGGTAGGAACAGTGTGAAAGAAACAAATGTGATTTGCTGTGTTCAGTTAGCTAGTGGATTGTCTTTTTTTTTTTTTTAAATAGTTGTGCTTGCGAAGAAAGGTTCAATTTCAAGATGTTTCTCTTTAGCTGCAAATATTTGATTGACCAAGTTAACATATGGTAATCTCATGTCTCTTAGTGGTCAGACAGCAGCAGGAAGGGATGTGGTGTTTTTGCTGGATGGATCTGATGCTACTAGAAGTGGATTCCCAGCTATGAGAGACTTTGTCCAAAACAAGTAGACACATCAGTGTGGATGATGGCAAAGACCGTGTGTCG